GTTACTTTGACATCAAATCTGTTTCGTTTCTAAYAGCACATTTTTTATCGTCTCTGAAAATTTTTCACTATATTTAAATGAAATTTTTGCTGCTTTACGGATTTAATCTTTCTTGGAATCTATCGGATTTCTAAAAAGTGATTTCAGACAAAAGTAATGAAACGTTTATTTCTAGCTCTAAAGCGTAATCTTACGAATATGAATATTAGGACCGAAAAAAAAATAAACTGATATACTTGATATATCGACCACTGCAGTCCAAAAAAGGGGAAAAATCGTTTTATTAAAACTATTTTGATACGTTACGTGTTGTATTTAATTCTTATTCGACGAATAGGAATTGTAGCTACCCTTACATCCAATCTTTTTCGTTGTTAATAGCACATTTTTTATCGTCTCTAAAAATAGTTTACAATATTTAAAAGAATTTTAATTCTGGTTTCCGGATTGAATCTTTGTTGGAATCTATCAGATTTATATAGAAGTGTTTTCTAACAGAAGTTATGAACCGTTTGCTATCATGTTTTATAGCGTAAAGTAACAAGTATAAATGAAAGGCCCGAAAAAATTAAGCTGATATCACTGATATTCTGACGACTGCAGTCAAAAAAAAATAAAAAATCATTCTAGTACATATATTTTGGATTTTGTTAAGTGCTGAATTTTATTCTTTTTCGAAAAAAAACGATTGTTGTTCCTTTGAATTCCAATCTTTTTTTATTTCAATAGCATATTTTTTATCGTTTCTGAAAATTTTTTACTTTATTTAAAAGAAATTCTCGCTGCTTTTTAGATTGAATCTTTGTTGGAATCTATCAGCTTTCTAAAGAAGTGCTTTCAAACAAACGTTATAAAACGTTTGCTTTTAGGCTTTAAAGCGTAAGCTTACGAGTATGTATATTTGTTCCGAAAAAATTTAACTTATATCCCTAATAATTCTTCTACTGCAGTCCAAAAAAGTAAAAAAAAAATTCTAGTACAAATATTTTAAGTTTCGTTACGTGCTAAATTTAATTCTTTTTTGACGAAAAGCGATTGTTGTTACTTTGACATCCAATCTGTTTCGTTTTAAATAGCACATTTCTTATCGTCTCTTAAAATTTTTTACTATATTCTAATTAAATTTTTGCTGCTTTCCGAATTAAATCCTTGTTTGAATCTATTAGAATTCTAAAGAAATTCATTCTAACAGAAGTTATAAAACGTTTGCTTTTAAGCTTTAATGCGTAAGCTTACGAATATGTATATTTGGTCCAAAAGAATTTTGCTAATATCCCTGATATTTCGACTAATTCAGTCCAAAAAAGTAAAAAAATTATTCTAGTACAAACATTTTGGGTTTCGTTATGTGCTGAATTTAATTCTTTTTCGACGAAAAGCGATTGCAGTTACTTTGACATCCAACCTTTTTAGATTCTAATAGCACATTTTTCACCGTCTCTGAAAATTTTACACTATAATTAAAGGAAATTTCCGCTGATTTCCTGATTTAATCATCGTTGGAAACTATCAGATTTCTATAGAAGTGCTTTCTAACAGAAGTTATGAAACGTTTGTTTCCAGCTTAAAAGCGTAAGATTACAAATAGAAATATAAGGTCCAAAAAAATTCAGCTGATATTCCTGATATTCCAACCACTGCAATCAAAAAAAGTAAAAAAATCGTTTTATTACAACTATTTTGGTTTTCGTTACGTGTAGAATTTTATTCTTTTTCGACGAATATCGATTGTAGATAACCTGACATCCCATCTGTTTTGTTTCTAATAGCACATTTTTTATCGTCTCTGAAAATTTTCACTATATTTAAAAGAAATTTCTGCTGCTTTTTGGATTGAATCTATGTTGGATTCTATCAGATTTCTAAAGACGTGCTAGTAAACAGAAGTTATATAACATTTGCTTTTGAGCTTTAAAGCGTAAGCTTACGAATATGTATATTTGCTTCGAAAAAATTTAGCTGATATTGCTGATACTTCGACCACTGCAGTCACAAAAAAGTGAAAAAATTTATTCTAGTAAAAGTATTTTAGGTTTCGTTA